CTAAAATATATTATTTAAACCTATAGTAGATGATGATCATATATTTTACGATCAGCGAATCTAATCTCATATATTATTTTTAACTTAAGCGAAATATTCCAGAAAAAAAAACTCAACGACAGACAATTTTACACACTCTACAAATATATATGATGGACATTTTTTCTCTGCACTCTGACTGCATCACATTGCACCACGATGCAACGAATGGACTTCCAATCAACTTGCCTCCACAAATCTGTAATAATTCACATTCTCTAGGATTAAATTCTTAAATTTGATGTAGAAACATTAATTTACATTTGATCAAACAACAAACCAAATGACTTCACCAATTGCAATGAGTTGGATTTAATTTTAAAATTAGAGGTTAGAATAAATTATAAATTTATCAATTTATTTTATATCATATACCATACCATGAATTCCAAGTTTGAACCGTGGAAATATGTATAATGGAGGAGATGTGCTTGACCTTTGTCCCCTTCACTACAAATTGGATGACGTTACCCTTTGAGTACGTACGAATCACACATTCACACTTATTCCAAATAATCCGTGAGGAAAATTGTTTTTTTGTTATGGAGTTTATATAAACAAACACAGAAAAAGGGCCAAACTTTTAAATTAGTTTTTAATGTTGGCACATTAACATTTTGGTAACTATAAATGGTTTGAAAGCTGTAGCCTGTAAGTATTCTACATTGGTGGTAAGTCTTTGGATTTTTGTGATCTAAGCATATACCATACGACTTATTTAGCAATGATGATTACTTGCCAATATTAATCTCTTAGCTGGCTTTTACCTATACTACTCAAAATTACTCCCATTCTATACTTACATTTTCCCTCTAGCACCGTATCCACCTGTTAAAGACCTAAATCTTTTGTTTGAAACTCAAAAATTAAACCACATTTTTTATCAACCAAGTAAATAAGACTCGACTAATTTCAAATTGAGTAAATCGACCGGAATTGCTCACACACCTAGTTTTGTCAACTAGGCTTATAGTCCAACTCTGGCTAAGGGCTTGACTGGTTTAAACGCAGCGGTTGTGGTTACGAGTGCAGGAGTTTGCGGAAGCGGACGGTTGCGGTTTTGAGCATTATTCAGCGGTTTGCATGACTGGTTAAATTTTTTAAGGCGGATCTGTTTGCGGGACAATTTTGACTGGCAAACCAGCGATTGTTTTAGCGGTTAAACATAAAAATACAAAAATAAACATCATATATAATTATAAAACAAACAGAAAAACTATATTATTATGATTAATATCAAAAGCAATAGTTTAAAATAATTAATAAATTATAAATAAATATTAAATAATTATTTTAAAAATTAAGAAATTTTATTATAATATATTTTATTTCAATTATTGGGAACATCACTCAAAGTTGTGTCTAATAATGTAACAGAGTGGAAAAAATTTGCTCCAATACGTGGATCTTCTGGATTTTTCTTATGCATGATGTAAAATTTTTTCAATTGATCTAATCGATTTTTTACACGATCCCAACTCAAATCAACTCCAAAATGCACATTAGTATTCTTCAAAATACGTTCATTCTGGAGTGCACTCAAAAATCTAGGATATTTATCTTGATTTTGTTTTTCCACAATGATCCGTTGAAATAACGCACATGTCATCTCGTTTGATCATGTAACTTTCTGAAGAAAAAAAAACAAGAATTATAACAAACTAATTTTGTAATTAATAAGATGCATATTTATAATTTCTTACTTTAAATTTAAATGTGGAAACATAACAATTAATATAAATAAATTAAACTAAAGTATTATGGCACTAATGTTTGTATCTTAATTTTCTTCAACTGATATGGAAAACCATGATTATAGACTAGAACTTGATAAAAAAAGTGAGAGGTTAGAGTTTATATATATTTAAGAGAAGATTAGTAGGGTTAGGATTTTATAATTATTTTTAATGTGATCTTTTTTTTCTAGCGTAAATTTATTTATTTTTATTTTTTTACTCAACCGCTACCGCCCGCAACCGCAAACGCTGGCGGGAAGCAGCTTTTGGATTTCACCAGTATAAAACGATACAGAGCGGTTTGCAGCGATTTTTATGATTGTGATAAAACGCCATTAACCGCTACCAACCGCAAACGCTGCGTTTGCGGATGATAGCGGATGAACCAATCAACACCTAAGTCATAAGCAATGAATCGCAAGTTCCGATTGTTTCCCGTTGTTTTGGCCTTAAATCCACCATTGTAATTCCCATCTCCTTCTTAAGATGAATTTATTAATGATATATATACAGTATATATATATATACTAAATGAAAGTAGCTATTCTAACCTTTTTGTTTAAGATGCCATGTCAGCAAATTAAGTTCAGCGTAAAAATCATCTACCCAGAGTTTGAGACTAGATTTTAGGCGATAAAAAAAGTATGCATCACGTTTCACTTATTTCTTTATGATGCCCAGTCTTCTCATTGTCTTATGACTACTTATGGAACCGCCGATTAACTTTCACTTATGAAACCTATTGAACGCGGGGACGATATTTGGATCGTCATTCGAGACCTCCGGATCGTCAAAGACGAACTCTGGATCGTTATTCAGGACTATCTGATCGTCATATATGATCTCTAGGTCATTATTCATGACTCTTATATCGTAAAGACGATCTCTGAATCGTTACTCGGGACCTACGGATCATCAAAGACAATTTTTAAATCGTTACATGTGATCCCTAGATCGCAAAGACGATCTCTGGATTGTTATTCGAGACTTATGGATCGTTAAAGACAACCTCTAAGTCGTTACACATGATCTCTATTGTTAATAGTATTCATATATTGAACATTCTTTATTTTAAATGTTTTTCTGTAGACATTAAGCAAAAAAAATTAAACAAAAAGCAACTTAGCCATAAACTGAAACGTTAGATCCTTTGTTTCAACTAGAAGCAACAAACAATCCGAAAAAATACACATAGTAGAATAACAAAGTCGTTCAAAGCATGATTACGCACAAATACCACTCATCCCAGAGCAGCGTGGTCCACACTTCACACATGTTAACCACTGCATACCGCCCCTTTGAAGACTCTCGTAGATAGGGTATTCTACAAGGTAACTCTTCTCCCCCTCCCCTTCGTGGCAAACAACTATCTCAAGCATCTTCTGTGCAGAGTCCATATCTTGCGGAAGAAGGTTTGCGCATCTTCCGAATATCATTCCACATATTTGGTCAGACATACAATTCATTTGACTGAAAAGTGTGATGACGTCTTTGATCTCATCACTGCTCTTTGCCAATTTATTAACGAAACACCCAAAGTGGGTAACATCAGGCTTTAACCCATACTCCCTCATCTCTCCAACATGTTGAAGGCTTACTCCATAGGGGTATTGCACTGAGCATGCGCATAGAGCAATGCTCAGAAAATTGTGAGGGTCGGCTTGATCTTTGTCCTCTCCATCTTAACAAAAAAAGTGATCGCCGTTTCCAGAACGCATGTGGCATAAAGGAACATCACATTTGTCCATGCGTACAACCCCTTCTTTTCCAGCCTTTCAAATAGGAGAAAGGTGGTGGCTTCATTATTCGCCATCCTTGAGTACAAGCTTATGAGCATGCCCACGTAAATATCCGAGTCTCAAGTCCAAAGATGACAACGAATGCATGAATAGCCATAGCCATTTATCTTCATTTTAAATGATCAAGTCATTGATGCATATTGTCGAAGCAATAGTGCATTACACTCATCAGCCATTTCTGCAAAATGTTAAAAAAACACAAACATATTAGAACTGTTTGCTTGCTTCTGATGTTCTGATGATGAACATGTCATCTCAACAAGTGATTCAACAGTTTCGTTATTTCTAAGTGAGTTTCGGCGCTAGAAAAAAAACATTATCTTGTATAAATTCAAGTTTTGTGCATTTCTGAAAAAAAATACAACATATTTGAAAAAAAATTAGAAAATCCAAAAAAAGAAAACAAAACGCTATTTTAAAAAATACCTTCCTTTTGCATTTTTCCTTAAATTGTTATATTTCGTCGGTTGTAATGGAGTGTAGTTGTCATTTTTGGTTTTTAGTTTCAGATGTTTTGCATTTTTTGATTTATCTATTATGTTTCAGTTGATTTTCTGAATACATTTTCTTTAGTTGATGGAATCGATTTTCTTCTTTTTCTTATTCTTTTGAACGTCTAATAATTTATTTATTTTGTTATTACAGCCACATTGATAACTTATTAACTTAAAACTAATTAGGTGGTTCATAAAAAAAACTCAAAAAACGATAGTCTGAGGTGTTCGCCTAACCTTCTGGGCTGGAACCTGTATATCATCTCTATACTTAACTGCAAACAATTATATCAAAAATATATCGACAACTTTGAGTTTTATAAATATGTAATAAAAACGAGTAAGAAGTCGACCACTTCAACTAATTTTTGGAAAAAAATATGACAGCATTTACCAAACTAACCACAATACCGCATTTATACTAAATGCATTTGCATCGCAATGGTACACTTATATCACTATAATTAGGTGTTGTCTGATTTGAAAAAAAAATTTGTGCCCCACAATTTCCGACATGAATTTTGATCAATAAGATTCAATCTAATCACAGCCCAAAAATTCCATCAGGGCCTTAAGGAAGCCCAATAATTAACTAGCTAATAGCCCATTAGCTAAAACCCTAGTATCTTCCTCTGTATATATAATTCATCTTATGCACGGAAGAGTTTCATATTGAGATCCGGCAAGAATTGAAAAACCTAATTATCTCTCTCTGGTTCTTGGTTTATAATTTTTCATTTTCTTCAATCGTCTTCTGTTAGAAACCCTTGATTTGCATTCGTTTTTCTTATAAACAAACATAAAGGAATCTTTAGATGTTTCAGATGATGTCTTTATCTTTAGGGAATGTTAGATTGCTCCTGGTTAGTGCTTAATCTCGTGGTTTTTGGTTCAATATGGAAGAAGTTATATGGAAATTTTCTCACTTATGGTTGCAATGATGATACCTTTATGATTAATTGAAAGCGTTTTAAACGCTTAATGAACGGTCGACAAAATGTCGAACCTGAGCGGTTAGCTGAGCAACCATTTTATTTTCTTTCAATTCTGCTAAAAGGTTTTATTTCTCTGTCCTTTTTTTTCGTTTTTTGGTTGCATTGATGTGAAATTTGTTACCATGATGTTTTGAAAGTATTGATGTGTACTTAACGTCGACCCGAGAAGACTGAATGCGTTTTTAACAGTTTTTGTATTGTGAATTCAAGAACACTTAATTTTGCTTTTAAATTTCGAGAAGAGTCAATATTATACTTCCAGGATTCACATTAACCAAACACAACACCTTCCATGAACCGCTCTCTACGTTATCAATTGAAAACTGTGGGAAAACAAAAAAAACGAAAGAAATTTTATTTTTACTGGATGATAATCACAAGTGTAAGCAACCATGAATTGTGAAAATGGTTTTTTTTTTTTTTCGTTTATATTTTCCCTAATTGAGGAAAACGCAAATTGAATGATATGTAAATAAATCCAATTTTTTTGGTTTCCTCTTCAACCAAGTTTGAGTGAATGTTGAGATATTCAGTATTTGGTACAAATATAATGGACATCAAATTTTAAACGGACCGCGTGAGCCCATATATTATTAACACCTCTTATTCATATGAACTGAAGATGTTTCAAATTTGCATGCGTTGGATATTGAAATTGTATATTTGGACTTGTTCTAGTTCGCGCAGTGATTAGAACGTATTAAAATGTGTAATAGAGTTTTGGTTCTCTAAGAGATGTTCTGCGCTTACCAGGAGAAATTTATCTTTCCTTTTTCTCCGTAACATTCAAAACATTCAAACACGAGTAACAATTTATGTCACTATTAAGAACTCTTATATTTGTGACTCCAAAAGAAATGATCCATATTTGTGTAAATTGTTCATGTTGGAAAACTATCATTGTATCCGCGTTTGAAATGAAAGTGAAATTTTCAAAATTACATGATTAATCGTTTCTCCTCAACGCCACAATTTCAACTTCTACAATTTCGAACAAAACAAAATTTTTATAAACTAATTTTGTGTTCACTGCCAAGTGCCAATAACCTGAAACAATTTGCCACATAAAATGTTTTAACTTCAAAAGACCTCAAATTTTGAGCTAGTAGAGCTCTTTAATATTCAGATTGTAGTTTTTTTTTTTTTTTTTGCCATAGCTTGGGTAAGTCAGTAATTTGATTTTATTGCATATTTACCGGATTACGTATGATGACATAAAATATAATTTGGCTTACATGTTTGGCTAACCATAAAGGCATAAACCATCCCAAAATAATTGAACGTCTTTTTGATTAAAAAATTCTTGTGATCGGTATTGTATTTGATCAAATGATTCACCTTTAAGTTTAGCTGCACAAAGGTTCACATCTAGAAGCCAAAAATCATTTAACACCGATATATTAAACATCGATCGCAAAGCCATTCTTATTCTTTGTTAACAGATCTCGCACTATAAATATACTCCATCAAAAAGATGAAGAATATAACTTCTTAGCTTGTACGTAGTGGATGAACCCTTCTCAAGTATCATCTTCTGAATACTTTTTGCTACGAGAAGACCCTTTTTTTTTACAGAAGAAGTTACCTGAAAATATAAGCGAAATTTAAATATAGCTGGTTGTTGAAAGAATCTCGTGTCCGTAAAGTAGAGAACAATCCATATCAACGCAACAAATGATGATGGAATCTGATGCTGATGACTTGAAAAGAGAATTACGTTTGAGTCGTAAACGTGTGGCAGTGGAAACTTCGTTCTCGTAGACGCGGTTTAAATGATGATGTTGTATAGATTCGACATCTTAACGAATGTGTAAAACTAAAGCATCAGTAAACACGTGGAAAGATTGCACCGGTTCTCGTTTTGTTTTTTTATAGACTTTTGGGTTTGACTTGTTATAATGTTAACGTTTATGAAGATTTCATTGTCTACAACTTGATGAAAGCTCAATTATTGATCTCTGATATTAATGGAATATATATTTAGGAAAAGTTCTCAAAATTAATTTATATGATTATTTGAACATTGACAGAGCTTTTCAATTCACATCAACATAACTGTTAAATAGACCATTGATATTGTCGTCTATATGATTATTGCAACTACTAAGTAGAAGAATTAGACTTCATTTTTTAATAGCTATCAAAAACAATATCATATTGTCATCCACTAATACTTGGTTTTCAATATTGTGAAGATTCGTCTTTGAATGGTAAAAAGTTGGTTAAAAGAAGAATTGTAAAAAATTCAAATTGTAAAGAATACGCATATCTAGCGATTACACCTTATGCGGTGGATTTAGGCTGTACCGGGAATTTGGCAAAATGCAGGCGACGCGGTTTATAACTATAAGTTTTGTCTACCTTCTAATAATATCGGGTAATTTTTTTTTTTTATCACATTTAGTAGTTAAGACTTTTTTTCAGCCTACTTTTAGTCATTAGAAATTAGAATTAGGCAGCTTAGTGATTTCTCGAACATTGATGACGAGTAATAAATAACACAAGATTTTCAACCTTCACAAAGATTCATCTTTGATTGGAGTAAAAGATTTTATGAAAAAGAAAAGAAAAGAATTATGACATAGTTCAAAACTAACATAAATGATTCTACCAAATATTTGATTGAGTAAATATCCCTCCCTTGCAAATCGAATCAAAACAAACTGTTCTCATCTTTCTTCTCATGACACCCAATTTCATATGATCGATCTATTCAATAAATGAAAAACAAAATAAAAACTTTTAGAGTTAAACTACTCGATTAATCAAAAGAAAATAGAACAAACTTATTTTGTTTAAGCCAATTATCGCCACCATCATCTTTTCTCAAAAGTCAAAGTCTTTAAAGACCTTTTTAACTTGTTCAAGAGTGACAAACAAAATCACCGTGAACGGAGCTTGTCTCGTAACCGTAGGCACAAACCCTTTGTATAAAGCAAAGACTCCTTCAGCTTTCACCGTCTTCAACGCACAATCCAAAGCTCCTTTATACGGCGGCGTTTTACCCGCCTCCACCTTCATATTCATCACTCTCGTCTTAATCACATCCACCGGATTCGACGCCACCGACGCCACAAACCCCGCCGCGAAACTCGACGCCACGTGAGTCACAAGCCCATCCTTCATCAACCCTTTCTCCAAAATCGTCTCTTTCACCGAATCGTAAGTCGCCAACTGCGACGCCGTCACGAGCATTGCTCTGTTTATCGTCATCGACGATCCTCTCCACAGAGACGTAACGCCTTCGCCGCGAACCATCTGCGCGATCGCGTCCAAAACGCTTTTGTAGTTTCTCCGATCGACAATCGGTAGACGACCGTCGGCTTGCATTCTCACCATCGCTACATCTGCAGGGTTTCCCACGGCGGCTCCGATTCCTCCGGCGATGAATCCGGCGGCGAGTTTTTTGGATAAAGGTATCGTCTTTGTTTCCGGGTCGGTCCATCTGGTCTTGAGAATGTCGTATAAACCCATGCGAGTCGTTGAATACAGAGTTTGACGGAGAACGGTGGCGGAGACGCCGGAGAACAGAGCACGCATGCCTTCTTTTTGGATGATACGAGATCCGACGCCGATTATACCCACGCGCGGTGGTGGTGGAGGCGCGTGGACGGCGGAGGAAGTCTGGAAAGCAAGCGCAGGTCGGAGATTTGTCTGAATTGAAGCTGATTCGCCTTGGAGTTGCATTCGGACCTTGATTAGATCGAGCGGGTGGGTCGAACAACCCGCTACGATTGATGCGATTCCTCCTTCGGCGAAACCCTTGAGACCCATTTTTTTCTTTTTTGAAATCGGAAATCTAAAAATCAGAAAGATCTTTGCTTTCCGGGAAAATCTGACGAGAGAGAGAGAGCTAAAAAGGATTGATTTTTAGAGAGAGAGAAATAAAGAGGTTAGATTTTTTGATTTTTCACCAGTTGGAATTAGAGCTAATCTCACTGGAGATTAGGAGATGAGAATGGAGACAGAAAGCAATTGAGGAAGAATGAGGAACTTGAGGTCTCTGAGACATATGCTGTTCCAAACAAAAGGTTTGTTTAGGTTTGGGAATTAATGTCTTTTAGAGAGAGAGAGAAGTGGTGAGAGATTTTGTTATGAGGTTGAAGACGAAGAGAGATGAATGCGTTAAATAAGGGAGAGGAAAAGAGGAAACGCGGAGACTTGTTTGCTATTCTGCGCCGAAGAAAAAGAAACTCGTTTTCCTTTTTGAATTTTGGTAGTATCTTCAGACTTTCCTTATTTTTGCTTTTTCAAATATTTGCTTAAAATCTTTCTTGACCAAACAAATGGCAACTCGCTTTTAATACGTAAGTAATTATTCAAGGGTATTATTATTATTTCATTCATCTCACATGTGAAAAAAGGAAAACTATTTAACTAAATTGGTGGAAAAAAGGTAGTAAAAATCTATTGAATCACACAAACACGGATTCATAAAAGGTTAAAACAATGATTCTTATGAATAGATTTATAATAAGATTATATATAATTTAGTATACATGGATTTTTTTCTGTTTAGCTTAATATCATAGTTTTATGAATATATATTTTCCGAACTAAATTTATGAGTAAGTATATTATTAAAATTGTTGGGCCCAACAACATTCTAATGCATGATACGAATTTTAAACTTGTTTATGTTGACACTAATGCAGCTCTACGTCTCTAGACAAATGATTAACCTATTAAAAAATGTTGATCGTGAATTTTGGTAGAGTTACAGACAGAAATTCTATTGTGCACCAGTTATACAGTTTCAATGAAATGAAGGGCACAATGAAAATGACTAAACATAATTCTGTATGAGTTTACCTACGTGTATTTTATTTTCTATTAAATGTTGGTGCATTCTTATCAATAATTGAATCTTTGGTGGGTGGAATCTGGATATGTAGATGAAATATTTCGCGTGGTTGATTAAACCAATTTGATTGATATATACATAAGAGCTATTAGTAGTTTTCTTTTGTTCCCATGATCGTTATTTTAAATTTTCAATACATAAAGTAATTTGTGGAATTGTAAAATTGCGTTTTTAAACGCGATTCTAAAAATATTTAATCAATTAAAAAAAATTTGTAGAATGGAAAATAGAATACAAAAACGGAGAAAAATAAATTGTTAAATCGCTTATTTGTCATTCCACAGTTATGCATTTTGCAAAATTGTTAGCAATTCTTTCTTCGTAATAAATTATAAATATAAAGGCCTAAATATTGAGAAAACTCCAGTTTGATAACTGTAGTAAACAAATACTGAGTATTACAAAATGAAAAATCAATTTTGACGCCTAAAAAACAAAAAGCAATGTCATTTTCATTTTCGTACCCCGTGGGTAGTGTAATTTCATTTGGTTATAGAATCCAATGGATATTTTCCCCACATATGAAATTATTTTTCACCCCACCCTCACATGGGATGCCTCCTTTTCGTTAATGAGATGCTTCCTTAGTTCTTCTGTCCCTGTTTTGATTATTCCTTGAAAGAGAATAGATTCCCTTTCTCATCAACTCATTGAAATTATTTCATTACAATCTATAATCTTGTGACCTGTTTTCTAACAAAAGGAATGGGAAGGTTAATTTTGTTTTTTTTGGAATTTTTACTCAGAATTTTAGAGTAAGATCAACTTGGTACGGTGTAAGTTGGTCTCTCGGTAGTAAGTTTTTCTCCTTCGGCCTTTGTTTTCCCTTTTGTGAGGTAATAGCTTCCGTCTGTACGTGTTGACACTTGACAGTTTATGTAATTCTTTTTGTAATCATCTAGTTTTTTAAAGAATTTGTTTTTTAATTCTTGTGCTTTTGCTAAAACACCTTATATATTTAAAAAGAGGGAGTATTTCTTTTGTTACACAGCATGCATTGTTTCTTTATTTATTTATATAAAAAAAGTAAAAAGTATATAGAATATGGTATCAGAAACCATATGGTAAAATTTGAGTGTGAGAGGTCTGAGAGCCATCCAATGGTGATCTCAAATATTCCTCTCACTCATAGGCCATTGATGGCTCTTATTGCATCTCATAAAAATATATTTAACGTTTGTTTATTTAACTAATACTCATATACACAACTCATATAATTAAATTGATATTAACTACTTTTTTTCAAAATGTTAAATTTATTAAGCAACAAAATAATTGTTTATGTACAAAACATAATGAACCAGTAAAGCCCAACATCATTCTTTATTCCAATAAGCCTCACGAGCTCGGAACCAACGTTGTAGAAGACTAAGAGCAGGTCCATCAGAGGTTCTTCGAGAGTTCATGATACATGTTTTAACACGAAATTCAATAAAAAAATAATAAAAAAGTAAAAGTTCAGGGTCCAAGTTCTTTCCGACGAACTTGAAGAGACGATATCATCACACATGGAGCTGATTGGTCCAAAAAAAAATAATTTTCAAATTAAAAAAAAACAAAAAACAAAACAAAAAAAATATTATTATATTCAGATAAACCTCTTTTTCAGAAGTTCACTGATAAACCTGCTCTAAGAAGCTTCAAATTTTCATAGCATCACAGTGACACTATGATAAGATTCGTCCTAGAATTGTCACACACTTGGTCCGGTGGAGGTTGATAGATCCTTGATTCCAGATCGTTTCGGAGAAAGAGATGCTAAGGCGTGAGTGTAAACCCAAATATCCTTAGGCCTAATTTCAAAGAAAGAACGAAAACGAGGGGATGGACCAAAGAAAAACAAAGGTTGCGATATCGGATGTTAGGGTGTGAGACAAGTCCCGAAAATCCCTAAGCCCCAGATATGACTACAAACTCTCTCTCACTCTTTGTAAGCGTAGGCTGCGTCAAGCAGGATGAAACTACTTGATAAACCAGAACGATCAAATGGCTAACCACCAAATATCGATAAGTTCTCGAAGAACAAAAGAGAAAACTCAAAGAAAATTTTATAAAGAGAAAAGTGATGATCTCAGTCTGAGTACAACGATGCCTTTATATAGAGGCATAAGAAGACCATCGGTCATACATAGGGAAATAAAAGACGATAAATGAAAAATGAGAAACGTTGAATAACGATCAGACTTCCGGACTGACCCTTCGCATCCTCTCGCTAAACTCTTGAACTTCTAGCCGTTATACCAAGCCGCGAATCGAACCATGGTCGTGAGATGGGTGTGCCTTAACCTCGTTAAAACCCCATTCGGTAAACCCAGTGGGACAAACCCGAATGCAAGGAAAAAGAGTATTAAAACAGCACCCCAACCAGGTTAGTTCGGACCTGATTATTGTCATGGCCTTATGAACTGGTGTTGAGTCTGTTGCTTGGCTTTGGCTCCTAAGATCGGTTAGCACTCGCTGGATCGCTCCCGTAAGCATTTTGGTACGTGACCTGGTCATTGGACCGGCTGGCACGGCCAGGACATCATCTGGGTCGGTAGCTTGGTTTTGTCCCTTGGCCTGAACCTCGACTTGTGCCTCGTCCTTTGTTTCCATCGGTTCCATGATTCTATCATCCCCCCCCTCTTGAAAAGGACTTGTCCTCAAGTCTGCTTCATCTGCATGAAAAGGAATGATATCAGCGATATTAAAACTAGAACTGACGGAATACTTACCTTGGAGATCGATCTTGTAAGAATTGTTGTTGATCCGCTCCAGAACAGTGAAGGGTCCGTCCACTCTTGGCATAAGCTTAGACTTTCTTTCTTCCGGAAACCTTTCTTTTCTTAGGTAGATCCACACTTGGTCTCCGGGCTCAAACACCTTTTTGGTCTTCCCTTTGTTGGCGTATTTCTGGAATTGCTCTGTTTTCCTTTCGATGTTTTGCCTTGCTTTTTCGTGCATCTTCTTCACCAAATCCGCTTTCTTTTTCCCGTCCATACTTTCATGCTCAGTCAAGGGTAAAGGGGTTAGATCCAAGGGTGTAAGAGGATTAAAACCATAGACTAACTGAAATGGTGAAAACAGAGTGGTAGAGTGAATAGCACGGTTATAAGCAAACTCAACATGAGGTAGACAATCTTCCCAAGTCCTAAGGTTCTTTTTAATAACCGATCGCAAAAGGGCTGACAAGGTTATTGACCACTTCCGTTTGACCGTCGGTCTGAGGGTGACAAGTTGTGGAAAAACACAGTTTAGTTCCTAACTTAGCCCAAAGGGTATTCCAAAAATAACTAAGGAACTTAGTATCTCTGTCAGACACGATAGTTCTAGGGACTCCATGCAAGCGAACAATTTCTCTAAAGAACAGGTCGGCTACATTTGAGGCATCGTCAGTTTTATGGCATGGAACAAAGTGGGCCATCTTAGAAAACTGATCTACTATGACAAAGATATAATCCTTACCTCGGCGGGTCTTTGGTAACCCGAGGACAAAGTCCATTGAGATGTCGGTCCATGGCTTGGTTGGGATGGGTAATGGAGTATACATACCTGCGCCTTAGCTGCGGGCTTTGGCTAGCTTACATACCGTGCACCGTTGGCAAATCCGCTCTACGTCCTTTGTGAGGTGTGGCGAGTAGAAATAGTTTTGGACCACACTTAGCGTCTTAAGGACCCCAAAATGTCCCATCAAGCCTCCTCCGTGTGCCTCCCTGACAATCAAATCCCGCAAAGAAGTGTTAGGTATACATAGTTTATTTTCATGAAACAAGTAACCGTCACTCTGATAATATTTGCCATGGGCAAACTTAGAACTGGCGAGATAAACTTCCTGGAAGTCAGGATCGGTCGCATAAGCCTCCTTAATCATTTCAAACCCAAGTATCTTGGCATCAAGCATAGTGATCAGGGTATATCGTCGAGAAAATGCATCCGCCACAACATTTTCTTTCCCTTGCTTGTACTGGATCACATAAGGAAACTTCTCGATGAACTCGACCCATCTTGCATGCCGCTTGTTCAATTTTTGCTGCTACAAGTAACCGTCATTCTGATAATATTTGCCATGGGCAAACTTAGAACTGGCGAGATAAACTTCCTGGAAGTCAGGATCGGTCGCATAAGCCTCCTTAATCATTTCAAACCCAAGTATCTTGGCATCAAGCATAGTGATCAGGGTATATCGTCGAGAAAATGCATCCGCCACAACATTTTCTTTCCCTTGCTTGTACTGGATCACATAAGGAAACTTCTCGAT